CGCGCACACACACCTCTGCTTTTCACATCTGCCAAGCTGGGACTGGGCAGCTTGGGGGAAGGGCAGTGCTCTGTGCTTTTCCTTCTGTGAGGAGCCACTTTCTGGGCACTGGTTCTCCAAGTGAGCTGCATCGACTCACTGGAATACGTGATTAAAATGAAGCTACCTGGGCCTCACCCCTAACCAACTAGATCCCTCCTTGAGAGTGGCAGGGGGTGCAACTTGGCGAGCTCTCCAGGCACTCCCTAAACTCACTAAAGTTTAAGAATACAACTCCAGAATTCTTGGTGGGAGTGGGGGCGGCCAGGGGAGTAGATGAGCTGGGGACGTCTTGCCAACCCCAGAGACGCCCTACCCCCTGAAGCCATCCCACCCGCCCCATGGAGCCCTGTCACCATCCGTCTCCTTCTGTCTTAGCGCCATCCTAAACCAACACCAGCAGGCACAAGAGGAAGATGAGATGGAGGTATGGTGGGGAGGGTTACCTCTTAAAGGGGGGTGGTAGGCAAGGGACAGAGTTCCTTGAGGCCCATCTTCCCTAAACTCTGACCAGCCCCTACCCTTGACAATTCTGGGACCCTCATACCAGGCCAGTGTTGGCATGCTCATGCACACCAGCCCTCATCTTGGGATGCCCACACAGGCTTCCCTGCCCCAGGCTGGTGTCTACAAAGAGGCAAGTCTGGGGGAAGAAGTGAGCAGTGGACAGGGGGTAAAGGGAGGGGAACAGGACTGGGAATTGGTGCCAGGGAGGTCCTTGGGGGCAGGCGCCTCCTCAGCTTTCAATTGAAACTTTTCAGCTGGAGAACGAATTGCTAAAGCTGGAGCCCCCACATAACATGGACCTGAACCTAGGCTCAAAACTGGAAATGGAGATAGAGGCCGAGGCCGTGCCGCAGTTGGAGCCGTGTCTGGCACCCGTGCTCATGCCTGAGGTCGACCTGGATGCTGACCTAGAGGCCTGCAATGAAGTCCTTGAGCAACACAGGTACAGGATAGAGTCCCTCCACCCCGACACAGAGGAGGAGCAGGGACTAGCACAGTGCAATGCCAGCCTGTGGAGTGCGAGGTCGAACTCCAGCTACCCGAGTTCCTTAGAAGAGGAACAGGTGTCCACCACCCATCGCTCCATCCACCTGCAGACCTCCAAGCACCTCTTCTGGGCAGACAAGCTCATCCAGACCTCAGATCAAAGCCTGCAACAGGAGCTCAGCATGCAGCCTGGCAAGGAGAGCACAGATAAGACTAACAGCCACCTGAACCAGGAACCCGTCCTTAAGATCACCGTGTGCTCCAAGAAGCAGCTCCAGAACTCCAACACCCAGCCAGCAGGCTCCCAGCAGCCACCAAGTGCCCACTTGTCCTCCTCCAGTCTCCCACAACGTATCAGCCTGGCAGATGTGATCAGGTTAGCAACTTCTGTGGCCATGGCCGCCTCCAACACAACGATCTTGTCCAATTGGGAGTATATGATGAAAGCCCCACCCCAGAAGGCTGGGGAGACTTTTGCAGCACCCACAGTGGAGAGTGCCACCCAGCCTGCCGAGGACAAGCCAGAGCAGCAAACGCCCTCTGATTTGCTAGATAGGCCACCAGAGAAACCACTGGACACCCAGGAACTGCAGAAAGCTTGGAAACAGGAAGACAAGAACTTCCGTCACCCTTGCCTTTAGCAAGGCAGGGCTCCAGGGGATCACTGTTGAAGGGCAAGTGAAGTTGTTCCAGTCCCCAGCTGTGTCCCTTCCACCGAAAGAAGGCAGAAAAGAGTAAGTGAGGCTGGCACACAGCTACCCCCAAGAGGAGTCTGTGATAGAATGTGTGGGTGGGCCCACTCCTCACACAACCGGGTGGGGGAGGGGAACTGTGGAATGAGGAGCCGGGTGGGGAATGGGATGGGTTGTGATGTCTCAACCTCAGTGACCTCAGTGACCTCATAAATGCTGCTGGAAACAAGGTTCCGGTGGACTGAGGTGCAGTGCCAGGGTCAGGGCTGGAGAAGGCATACAGACCATGGAGGGTGAGCACTCCAGCGCTCTGTCAGTAACCTGAGTTCAAAATGGGAAGGGCCATTCTAGTATTAGGAAGCTTCTCACCCAGAAGGCAGCTGGCCTCTCCCTCATCAGCAAAGCTCAGGCCCTGTTGAGAATCTGGTGGTCCCAGCCTTGAGCCCAGGACACTTCCATCAAGTGACAAGCAAGGGTAAAGGGTTCTCCAGCACCCCTTGCTCCCTGGTGATGGATGGACACAACCAAACATCAGTTGCTTATGCGTGCAGCAGGAAAAGGCCCTCTTACCCCAGTTCCCTCCTCGGAGAGGCCTCTGGGCTCATCCCACTCCCCCAACCTTCCCACCAGGGCCCAAGTGACACTCTCTCTTTTGCATTGCAGCTTGGTGCCAGTGCCAGGAACCAAGAAAGGGAGTCCATTATTGCTGAAAATCCATTTTAAGCTGTCATCGCCCCCCACCTTTCCCAGAGAAGTAACTAGACAAAACCAATAAAGCCTCCGGTACTAGCCCCCGGCTCAGACTTTTTGTGCAGACGCTCCTGGGCCAGTGAGCTCACCTGGCTGCAAAGTCCTGGTCTTGATTTTTTAAGGATGCCACCCTCATTTTTTTAGCTACCCCAGCCCCTCCTGCCTCCTGAGGCCTTGCTTTACCAGCCCTGTTTGTTCCTGCTCGCTCCTCATGGGTATTTCCACTTTACTCGCACCTGTCTAGACCTTCATGCCAGCAATAGAGATTCGTGGCTAGACTTGGGGAGGCCTCCGTGCCCTATCTGAGGCTTCAGTTTCTTACATCATGAAATGGGGCTTCCTCTTGGCCTGAAGCCAGAGACACACTGGAGAGACACACTGGGATCATCTGAGGAGAGAGCCTCCTGGGGGTGGGGCTGGGCAGGCAAGAAGGAGAGAGTGAAGGGTGTTCTCTCCTTCTGCTTCTCTTCACCAGGAAGGCCTGGCATAGGATAGGGACAGTGTCCAGGGGCTGGAAGGAGGGGAAGAATGAAGCCAGAGGACTGGCCTTCTAGGGGCCCAAAGCCTTGAGTTGGAGGTACCTCAAAATGTAGGGGAGAGCCACGCGTAATAAAGCATGCAACCCAGACACACACACACACACACACACACACACACACACACACACACACACACACACACACACACACACA